AACATTTTCTAACAATAACAAATAAGTCTGCGAAAAATAATTATATGCAAAATAAATTATTTTACACCATTATATATATATTATAAGTTTGTCATTTGCTCTCTCCCTGAAATGTTTGCAATTTTTTACTTGGTTAATTATAATTTCACTTAGTTATTATTTTCTTACGATTTTTTCACTATATTTTAAAAATTAATGTAATAAAAAATTTATTCTTTATTATCATAATATCTAAGTTATTTTCTCAACATTAATCTCCCAATCAACTTTATAAAATATTATAATCCTTCCAAATAGATTATAAATCTAAGATGGTGTGTAGCCATTAATAGAATGCAACTTTTGAACTTATATAAAATAGAAATCATATTAGCATGAGGACAAAGCTTCTTGGCAAGCAACAGTCAAACTTTTGCTTTGCATTGAGCTTATAATTTTTATTTTTCACAGTGTTGCGTCCTGGAATATTCGCGGCGGTAGAGAAATATATAGTTTAACGTCTTAGCGTTGTACGAAGATCCAGCACACAATCAGATAAGTGAGAGGGTGTAGCGTTCATAAGAGACACCAAAGTTTTGATGATGTATCACACAGGTTGAAAAACCTCTTATTACTTGAACACTTAGATGACTAATAACAGTGAAACTTTTTGAACAGTGAAGCTATTAAGTAGGGAAATATATAGCATAGAAATTTCAACATTGTCATGCTGTCAATCTTTTTGTAAAACAAAAAATTTATCAGCATATACTATTCGGATATTAAAGAAGGAAAACGCAGAGTATAAGTATTGAAATAATTGAGAAATTAAGCTGCCTGCAATATATAATATTGTTTTTTTAGGGAATTGATATAAATATTATAAAAATTGTTATGTGTTCATATATCTAATATCTAAATTTTTATATTTATTTTTATATGTCATAAAAAAATTATGATGATCAGACACGAATCCTGATGACTATATAACTTGAAAACCTCTAAAATTAAAGTTAGGGCCATCACAACTTGGATTTCAATATAATTATAGTCAAATTGAGCGTCATCATGAGATAAACCCAATGATATCAAAGGTGACCCAATTCGAGTACGAATAAGCCCATATTGAGTAATTGAAGTGTAATTTAAAATTTCATGACATTAATTGGATGACCACATGATCTCTAAAACTCACATGCTTATAATCGAATCGAGCATTTCGACAAGACGAATAAATAAGCCAAAGATTGTTTAATTTCAACATCATTAAGATGAACTTTTATTTAGTTCGGTCACATGACGTAGCTCTACGTTCGACCGCCAGTAGAATCACACCACGTGTTCTCACTATTTACCGCGCGCCCCGACAACTTGACCCAGAACGGACCCAGGATGGCTCGGTATTTCTCGATTTTACTAGGTATTGCTCGATATTACTCGGTATTGCTAGGTATTGGTCGATTTTGCTTGGCAATAACCAATACCGAGCAAATACCGAGTAATACCGAGTTGTATCGAGTTTTTCTAGAAAAACTCGGTACAACTCGGTATTACTCGGTATTTGCTCGGACCATTTTGTAACTATGATCGTCAAAACACTAATCAACCTCTATTGTTGCCCAACTATAAACTTTCTATATACCCTTCCCCAGCTATGATTATCTGGCCTCCATCATCTGACTGCAGTCCTCCAATCACCATCATCCAAGTATATTCCTCCAACCATTATATCATTATTATACTCATATGATCACCGTCGCCGATTACAATCCTTCGATCATCATTATTAGACTATAATCCTTTCGACCACCACTGCCCAACTATGCAATATCAACACCTACAAAATACGTTGTACATATTATATGTGTAACACATTGCATAAACACCTCCCTAAGGAAAGACACTATTTATAATCAATGACAAATATCAGTTGAATCTTTTCAACTATTTCGGGCCTAATACTTTTTTCCCTTTGTGAGTTTTGTATATAAAATCCAATTGTCCCTTACAACTCACTTATTTGTTTGTGTGTTGGATCTTTGCATAAAGTTAAAACGTTAAACTATATTTCTCTACCGTTATGAATGCCTTACACGCAATAATTTATATATACTTTATGTTAAATAAGTTAATATTAATAATATTTTTTATGTGTAAAGATTTGAGTATTATATAAACATTTAAATATTAGATATTTAAATTCATAAGAATTTTACAATATGCATGTATTTAAATCCTTTTTTAAAGATGGCAAACATCAAAATATAATTTGTTAGAAACTAATAGTTAATGTTTCAAAATCAAGCCAAAATAAGAAGCGAAATAATAATAGTTTTATCTGCTACTGTTTACATTTAAAAAAAATCAAATCATGAAATAAATAAAATGTAAAATACTTTGTGCCTTCTCATTCTATTTTAAACAACTATAAAAAGCCCTACCAACCAACCTATGAATGAGCCCTAGCCTAATTTACAATATTACCGAATTGTGAGCGCACACTTCTACAATTAAGATATCTACAATGCAATCACATGTTGGATTAGAAACTTCCCCTATATATATAGAGAGGAGGGTGGATAAAATAGGATTAGAGTTGGTATTTAAGTGAGACAAGTCAACTCGTGAGCTTACTCAGGCTCGACTCGATAAATATCGATCATGAGTTGAAATTGAAGAGCTAAAAAGTCAAGCTTGAACTACCTCTGACTTAACTTGATAATTCGTGAGCCTGTACGTTTAAAATAAACTTAAAAGATATTAAATTCATGATTTCAAGTTTAAGATTATTAAAAATATTAAAAATATTTATATTGTGATTATCTATTATTTTGTTCTAATTTTTCATTATTTTTATCATTTTATTATAATAATTGCTTGGAACATATCTTTTTTTTTTCTTTCTTTCTTTCGTAATAAATGAGTCAACTGATGAATCGGCTCGAACTCGTAGAATAGAGCTCATGCTCGAGTTCGTATTCTTAAGCCAAGGATGACTCGTGATTGGCTCGACTTATTTACACCCCTAGACCAAATTAAGCATGCATAATCTTAAGAGTGAAAGAGAACACGTAAAATCATAAATACACAGATAGGGTTGGGAGTTTACCAAAGCTCCCAACCAACATACCAATTTATTTATTTATTTAATAAAGTTGAAATTTTCTAAAGAACATTAAAATAAATTAAAATAAAATAATTATAGTTGTTGCTTTTATGAATTTAATTTCCGTATATTTTCAACTGCTACCAAACTATTAAATGTCACCTCCTCTAAGCCATACAATTAAACTAAAGAATTAGTGTTGACATATTATTGTATAATACTAATTGATTTGATCAACGAGATTTCGTGCGAGGTTAGAAGATTTATTAAACGAGTGAGTTAATATAAATATTGAAGACAAAGCCTTCTTTTTTTTAATATGTTGCAACTTGCCTTAATATATAATAATCATTTTTATGTCGATGTATAATGCATAATTATTTTATCTCAAATTTAACTCACTCAATAATTTTTCTCAGGTCAAGAAGTGAAGCTTCTTAAGAAAAAGTTATGGTTAGTAACTTTTGAGGTGTAATTAAGCAAAAATAATTAGAAAAAGATATTTCTTAGAAATACGGATGTCTCTATCACCGTTTTTGTGGTGAGAAATTATTCTGTGCGGATGTTGAATATCGTTCGGAGACCAATCAGAATAAGCCATGTTGGTACTGCAGCTCAGCCCTGCTCGGTACGGCTCATATCATTCTCGGTATTGCTAACGTGGCTCTAACTAGTTGGTCTCCGGATGTAGAGCTACGTTCGACGGCCGCATAGAATAATTTCTCTTTCGTGACAGAGCGTTTCGTTAGATTAAACGACAGATGTGAGATGTTTGGTGAATGAATGAAAATCCAAATGAACTCCTCATGATATGTAGTGTTAGATGGATATGCTTTTTCATAACATTTCACGAATTTTGATGAAAATTAATGGTGATCGATCTAACATTACCTATTGCGTGGAATTTCCTATAGTCCTATAGATATTTGGTATGAAGATCACACAGGTGGCACTATGAGCACCAAGTCGTGAAGTTGATCCACGTACACGCCCCTCTCAAGCCCATCTTGAATAGGTCAAACTACTTGTGCCCCACAGTTGCCACATGGCACTCTTTAATTGGTGTACTCTAACACAATCCTTGTTATACCCATAGTGGCGGTCCCCACTTCCTCGTGGTCCAACCGTCTAACTCTACTTTGTATGCCATGTGTTACCTTTACTTAGGTAGTCAATTTATGTGGTCCTCGCTAGTAGAATTCCTCTCTAATCAAGAATATTATCATAAATAAATAAATAAATAAATTAATATTTAATTTCTTATCATAAATGAGGTTTTGAAGCTTTTTATAAGAAATAAAGTACAAATAAATTTAACTTCACTATTTGATAAAAATAAATAGGCACACATGTTTTAATAAAATAATAAATTTATTTTTAATCATAAATTTAACTAATATTTATTATAAAAAATGCAAGTTGGAAACACTCTAAAATATGAACAATATATTATTTAAATTTATGATGCTTAAAATATTTTTTGTCATTAAATTTATTTATATTTTTGTAATTTTCAAAACTCTAAGAAATTTCAACTATTTAGTAAGTGATAGTCTTTTAATCTCTAAAATTAAAATTAAAAATTTAAACCCTTATAATAATATTTGATGGTTCCAAAAAAAAATATATATATATGAAAAATATAAATTCACATATAACAGTTTATGTACTAGGATTAAAATGTCATGACAATGACATGTTGTTTTACCTTAAAGTCCTTGTTGTTCTTTTATTTCATCATTAGCATTTTCAAAAATTACAGACATAATATGGCGATTCTGAATTTACATTCCCCACCCCGTCCCATATTTACCCTCTTACATTCGGCCCAATCGGCCGGCAGCTCCTTTTCCCAAAACACCCTTCTAATTTTTAATTATTTTAATTAAGAACATAAATAAATAGTCCCGGAAAATAGAAAAGTCTTCTCTCTCTCTCTCTCCCTACTTCTTCGTCTCGTCGTCCTCTGGAATTTCAACTAATCTCTCTCTCTCTCTCTCTCATCTCTGCAAGAGATGGCCTACCACAACCACCTGACGCAAGAGATAACCCTTCCAGCCTACGCCGACCAGCATCTAGTTGAAGACGCCGGAAAATCACCAACCGTTGCCGCAGCCGCCACGGCGCGGCACCTCGCCGGCGGGCCATCGTGGCTGAACAACCCCATCCTCCGACAACCCCACCAATTCGTGGACGGCAGCTTCCTCCACCTCCAAACCGCCCCGGCTCCCTTCCGGTCCGCCGACGACGAAGTCCCCGCCTCCAGTGACTCCATAATCGTCGCCACAGCCGGCGATGAAGAAACCCCGGCGGGCAGCGGCGAAGCTGTTGAAGGCACGTGGCAGAGGGCTCGGTACAAGGCAGAGATACTGGCCCACCCTCTCTACGAGCAGCTCCTGTCGGCACACGTGGCGTGCCTACGGATCGCCACGCCGGTGGATCAGTTGCCGAGAATCGACGCTCAGCTCGCCCAGTCGCAGCAAGTTGTCGCTAAGTACTCTGTCATGGCCGGCGGCCAGATGCTGGCTGGAGAGGAGAAGGAGCTCGATCAATTCATGGTTAGCCTTAAATTCTTCTTCTTCCTCCTCCTTTCCCAATTTCTTCAGTTTCTCCTATCGATTTAAAATTTCACTCTTTCTTCAAGTTCTTAAATTGAAATTAAAGGATGATAAATTAATAAAATCTGCTCTGTTTTACCCTGCTCTTGACTCGTTTGATTCAGTTCGTTAATTATCAAATCTGTTATTCAATTTTAAATTTTGATTATGCTGTATTGTATTTTGGATCAACGGCTTGTAATTTTCTTAATTGAGAATATTCCTGAGCTATAATTAGGTTAGGAGCTCTTGACCTAATTTTCACAAAAAAAAAAATTAAAATTTTTATATAGAATATTTTTTATAATAAATAGGGTAGGGGGGGTTCCTAGCTAGGCCTGTGTTAATGCTATAAGTGCAGTGTTTGTAGGCTGAGAGCTGCACTACGAACTCTGCATCACCTTCCACAGTTTCTTCAGGCTTTATTTAACTGCATTAATAAGCTGCAGAGTTGCGAATAAAGCTTCTTTACTCTTTCCATGAAAGAAGAAAGAATTACATTCATAGGATGATCATCATAGGTGTATTTTATTTTTTTAAAAATGTTTAGTGCCAAAAATAAATCACAATTTGCACGTTTATCACATTCCTAAGGCCATCTCCAACTGAACGCCAAAATCAGAGTTTGTCATCGGAGAGCTGCTCCATCCGAACGTTAAAACCTGTGACATTTTCGCCTCACGAACAGTGACATGTCAATATTGGGGCCCCACTGTTCAATACCTCTATCTTTTCATGTTATGAAATAGAGCTTCGTTGAACATGAGTTACTATATTATGAGTGTTGGAAAATGAGTTTTTTCGCTTCTAGTTCCCTAAATCCAAATTTTGTTGGATGGAGCCTAAGAAGCTACCAATTGTGCTTCATAGGAAAAAAAATTTAGTTTGAACTTTTTTAATAGATTTTTACATGATGTATTTAATTGGTGCAATAAAAATTTTAATGATATATATATTAAAAATAAAAAATCAAATAACTTTGAGATATGTTAAGCACAAATTGAAGGTGCTACTATGCTTCTTATATAAATTCATATAATATAATATATATTATTATAATATATATTATAATAATATATATAATATATTAATATTATAATAAAGTGGGCTCATCTGTATTTTGGTGACTATTTAAAGTGAAAGAAGGAGATTATATTAAGTGCAGAGACCGAATATAGAAAATCATTCGGTTTTGTCTTTGCGAATAGTAAAAACGCAGTGATGAATAGTAAAAGCGCAGCTCTGTGCATTTTATTATTTACAGAGACAAAATCGGCACGATTCTCTGAGTCGATCTCCACGTAAATAATTTCTTTGAAAAGAGTCGCATACCCTTCTTCAATTTGATTGATCCATTTATAGTAAGTGAGCTCAATCTTATTTTTATGGAAAATTATCATCATATTTATTATAATATTGGATTTATTAAATTAACTCTCCTCTCTCTCCTCTCTATATAATATATATATATATCATATTATATATGAATAAAATACATAAATAATCCTCATTAAATTATATCCGAAATTCTAACAAATTTTTTTTCTACTTTTGTATAAGAATTTATATGAAAGGGCTTCACCAGAAAAAAAAAAATTATTTACTGCCTTACCTAAATTATATCATCCAAATTGAATGCTTAATTTGGAATAGATTTGAGGAATTAGAGAAAAAAATAAGAGTGAATTTTTTTCTCATTTTCTATTTTAGTCAATAAAATCTATATAATATATATATGAATATTTTTAATTTTTTTGAAGGAAGAACTTAATATATATTTATGAGATGTAATCTGTCTAACCTTTTAATATGTTTGCTAAATGTAGCAATCCGTTTCTCCTTTAGAAAGAGTGATATCAATTCCTTGTTTGTTACCTATGTCTTATTAGTTAATGCAATGTTCAGTCTTCAGAGTTTAACTATTCGCAGTGGCCTACGCTATGTTGGTCATCTGCAGGGAACAAAATGCTGACAAATAATTTAAATACGAATATAATATAATATTATATATAAAATATAATATATAAATATTATATATAAATTTATTCTTCGATATACATGTTGAGACAAAATTATTTATGTATGAAAACATCTCAAAATATTATAGATCAATATCATGATACCTCAAAATTTTATTTTATCAGGAGCATATATTTGCTTGAAATAGACTAAGGACGTTTATTTACTCCCTTTATTTTTCATACCGATTATAAATAACTTTTATTTTAACAACTGCTTTCATACAGAAAAAGCCTTTGTATCGATGGACTAAAATCTAGATAATATCCCGAAATTACTTTTTTCGTGAAAAATATCCATGTAATTCGCTATCATCGGAAAAATCTAAGACCGGCGAAGTTTCTAACACGGGAACTTTTCCTCTGGTGGCTTTTCGGCCAAATTACTTAGCGGAAAAATGAGTGTGAAAACGTTGTATTCTCCATTATTATTTCGCGTAATATTCCCACTCTAGTTCTTGAAAGTCCGACGATAAAAGATTTTTTTGATGTTCTGGTCTTTCAAAAAATAATAATATGTAGTCATTTTCTACACGTAAAATATAACTACGTTCTTCAAATCATTTGCAAATAATAAGAAACTGTCCAAATGAAGCTGAAGTTGATTCTATTTGATTTAATACTATAATATGATTTGAATATGTTGAATTTAAATGTAAGACTTATGTTACTACATTCAAATTCCTTCTATCATCTTCTCTCTCTATGGGCCAATACATCTATTTTGTTTAATTAATCAATTCATTATAATATATTTCCTCCAAATTTCTCAAACATTATTGGCTCATGTTATTCTGGCGCAATAGGCTTACTATATAGTTCATTTTGTCTGTGAATGCTAATACAATAAGCAACCATTGCACTCATTTTTTGTCTTCTTCTTCTTGTTCATGCTTCTTTTTACAACTTTAGTATGAAGCTGACAAGAACCTGGTACTTTTTATCTCTTTGATTAGCATCTTGTGTCTCAGTTACGTGGATGCAGCTTGTAGTGATTCAATGAATATAAAAAGAAATGCGCTTCCTGAGATTATTGTACTATAATTGTTTCTATGTTATAACATGTAGGCCTATGGTTTCAGATTATTTGTCATGCCTTCAACATTTCTTATTGCAAACTATTCTTTTATAACTATTTCTGACTATTCTCCTCTGAACTATATCAGAATGCAATGTCATTCTTCAGGATGTTGTCTTGGTGATGCTATTACTTAGGCCTCGTTTGGGGCAACTTTCTTTTTGCTTCTTAAACTCGAAAGCTATTTTAAGAAGCAGAAAGAAACCTGTCACAAATGAAGTCGTAGACACGTTAGACTTAAAAATATGATAATTTATTAATGATGAATTTGTTTTTATTCATGTTGTGCCTGAAAGTAAAATCACCCAATTTGAGAGACTTTTGAAGTATTTTTAGAGTCTAAAAACAATATTGATTTATAGTTCCATCAATCCAAATGAAAGAATCAATAAATTTATAATTTGTCAAAATAAGTTTTATAATTTCGGGCAAGCAAATTGGGTGCAAAGAAAAAAAAAAAAAAACTTAAGCTTCGTTTTAGACAGTTTTTTTTATTGTTTTGTAAAACTTTTGTAGAGAAAGTAATTTTTTAAAGTTGTTTGAAAAACATGTTTCTAAAAAAAATCTTTTTGAAAGCAGCGGGAAAAGTAGTTGGCCTAGTGGCCAAAAAAATTGTGGTTGCGATTTGAAAAGTTGTCTCAAATGAAAACTTAGGTTTCGTTTGAGACGGTTTTTTTATTATTTCTTAAAGCTGCTTTCTAATAAAAAAATTAAAATATAAAGCCGCTTAAGAAGCAGTAAAAAAAGTTATCCCAAACGAAACTTTAGTGTGAAGAGTTTCTAATATATTTTGTGTGATATAACAAGACATTTATTGAGAAATATGAGATAATTTGTAACAAGACATCTAGTTTAACTACAAAATTAAATGAAACTTAAACTTCTTTAGACAAAACTGAGATGTCTTGTGTTTCAGATCTAATATCCTCCTATGTTTAGTCATTTGTCTTATAGTCCAAAACATAATTAATACATTAGTATAGTTTTTTTTTATTAACATGCAAGTGACATCAATGTGCTTGCAAATGAAAATTATTTCAGACAAATAAATCTCTACTAATTAATCAATAAATTTATGACAAAAGCACGCATGCCTAATTAATGAACTAATTTTTGAAATAACAGAAATACAATGACTCTTTATGTTCGCTTACTCCTATTTTTTGTTCTTTGGGCAGACGCACTATGTATTATTACTTTGTTCATTCAAAGAACAACTACAACAGCATGTTCGTGTGCATGCAATGGAAGCAGTAATGGCCTGCTGGGAGTTAGAACAGTCTTTGCAAAGTTTGACAGGTAATTCTCTAATACATTTTCATGAGATTAAACATATATTTTAAACAAAACGATTTTTTTATTACTTTTCATTAGGGACCAAATTAATTTTAAGAAGATTATTTTATATCTTCAAATAGTAAGAACAGTGGTTCTATGGATTATATGAATAAATTGTTGCTAGTGGCTTAGAAATCTGAAGAAAAGACTGAAGGAATCATGTTGATGTTTAGCACAACTTGTTTGCGAAAAAATTCATGATAAATTTTACTTAGAGCATCTCCAACTGAACGTCAAACATGCGTATGGCGTCGTTCGGTTGCTCCAGCATTTACAACCGTTACCTTCGTAGAAGCGCACAAAAAGGAGTTTAATTGGAAATGAATTACGGCATTTTTGAATTTCACTGCATTTTGGAGTGAAAAATGGGATTTTCGGTTGGAGATGCCCTTATCCGATGAACTTTTTACTTATTCGATCTGAAACTCTTCTTTTAATATTCCTTTTGTATAAATTTGTAATGGTTGCCTAAAACTTTTATGTTGTTTAATCTATATTTGTTAGGTGTCTCACCTGGTGAAGGCACTGGTGCAACAATGTCAGATGATGACGACGATGATGATCAAGCTGATGGTGAAACAAACTTCTATGATGGAAGTTTTGATGGCTCAGACAGTATGGGCTTTGGTCCCCTCGTACCTACCGAAAGTGAAAGATCACTAATGGAGCGTGTTCGACAAGAACTAAAGCATGAACTGAAAAATGTAAATCAAACATAAATAACTTCATATATAACAATGCCTCAGTAACTTCAAAATGCTAATCGACCTTGTATAATATATAGGGATACAAGGAGAAGATTGTAGACATTAGAGAAGAGATTTTACGTAAGAGGAGAGCTGGAAAACTCCCTGGTGATACAACTTCTACTCTAAAGGCTTGGTGGCAGTCCCACGCTAAGTGGCCCTATCCAACGGTCAGATTCTATTTTATATTCTTTATTATATGTCAAGTTAATTTTCCATTGTATGCAAGCATTTACAACATTTTAATGTTTAACTAAATTTAGGAGGATGACAAGGCAAGGCTGGTACAGGAGACTGGGTTGCAATTGAAACAGATCAATAACTGGTTCATCAACCAAAGGAAGCGAAACTGGCACAGCAATCCATCCTCCTCAACTGCATTGAAGAGCAAGAGAAAAAGGTAGATCCAGAAAGGCCAAAATTTCATTTGATTATATGACCACTCGTTTGCCTACTTTAGTTTATAAGAAAGGATTGCAGGTGACAGAAATCTGAAGGGATTGGAAGGGACACAAGGAAAGCTATTGAATTGGTCTGAAATTTAAGAAGGCCTCAAAGAAGAATGAACTGATGTTAGGACAAGGAGGAGGTAGCTCTGCAAGCAAATTGTTCCTTCTGTGAACATAGTAAACAAATTGTTACATGCAGAGGCAGTCTTTGTATCTCATTAGATAAAATGATCCATGATTAGCATTACATGTTCAAAATTGTTTGCAGACTTTATTCTCTCTCTTTTCAAATTACCAGCTAAATTAAAGTTTAATTTTAATGTTTTACTTGATTTTCTTAATAAGAGAATACTGGTGTGGTTGTACAGTAGTGCGATAATATTTATTGCAGCATATTGATTACAGTGTTTAACAGTTGAGTACTTTTAAGATAATATTCTGTGGAAGATAATTTTTTGCAAGGTAAAATACATTAGTTATAATTAATGGCTTGGTGTACTAATTTGGAATTTAATATTTAATTTTATCGGCATATCTTTCCAAAGCAAACATGGCAACAGTTTTCCTGTTCTTGTTAAGAGGTTTGACTACTGTTAGATCGGTCCAGGCGGTCCACACGGGACAGGCCCAATGCAACAGAGGCGGAATTTCTCCACCTCCTGCGCATGCCGCGAGATCAGTGGGAGCTTTTTTTGGAAGGTTTTTGAAGGAATTGGGAGGGAAATTTGAATGTAGGGACTGTTTAGAGATTTTCTTTTGATTTGTATGCATTAAATAATTTATTTTCCTAGGATTAGAGCATCTTGAATTTGGCTGAAATTTGATATCTCTTAGATTTAGGTTTTGTTTTGGACTCTAGCAGCGTCTAGAGATTTGGGAGAGATCGATCCTCCTCTCTTACTGAGGATCACTTGTATCTTGTTTGTTTTTCTTCCATTAGTTGATTTCTTGCAATAAAATCTACTATTTTCCCTGATTTTAACTGGAGTTTGGAAGAATTTTCTCATTGTTTTCCAAAAATTGATAGGAAATACTTGAGATCTACAAGTGTTTCCTATCATCTACCAACCAAAAGTTCGAGGTCTTAGATTCAAGTCTTACGTAGAAACTCAATTTGCCTTCTGCACCCTCCCTACTATTACTGTAAAAGAGCAAAGATAAAAGGTGGGTTAAATTATGCTAGATCTCACTGGTAAAGAATTAATGTTGCAGAGGCGAAGTTATAGCAGCATAAAATAATTGATAGAAGTGCTCAGAATACAGATGTACCTGCTGCTAGACTTGTCCCTCAATACAGATTGCTGGTTTCCTCTCAAGAATTGGCGTACCGTTAATTCAGCTCAATATTCACAATTTTTGTTTGAGAGAGACCTCGTTCTTCAGTAAAGAAGCTACATGAGATCATTTAAAAACAAGGGGCCAGCATAACTTTTACCAAACTATCCACAGGTAAATAGGCTATATTCCTAACAATCAATACTAGGGGAAATTATTGGGCCCGGTCATCGGACACAGCGTACCGTTCGGAACTGAAGTATCGAACGGTACTGAGCTTAGTACTGTGAAGTACTGAGTTCGGTACTTCACAGTAACAAGTATACTGAGCTCGGTACTGAGTACTGCTTGGTACTGCTCAGTACCGAGTTCAATATCGAGTAGAGGGTGATATGATGCATTTTCATTGGCTACGGACGGCGTCCAGTGACCTGACCCAATAATTTCCCTTGTGCCCATGAAAGGTTCCCATCTCTCCCTACAAAAAATGCCATTGAGTTGGTCACAAAGAACTGTAGGAGCTTGTGTCCTGTCAGAAAAGAAGCTTCCATAAAATGCAGTCCAATTGCTATTTCAGTAAAGTTTGGTGATCTCCTTGATGGATCTGCAGACCAACATTGTTCCATCAGAGCTTTCCACTCAGGACCGGATCACATGGTTCTTGGGCTCAATTGCTCTTGTTGGGCATTTAAATATCTTAATGATATTAAAATTTGGCAATCTTGAGCTCGTTGGATTCGTCTCGCCAAGCCGCTCAATTCGACTATAAGCATGTCATGTTTAAGAATTGTTTGGTAATCCAAATTAGGGTTTGAACCTTCTAAATGTGTTTCGGGTCTTTGATTTGGACCCATTCGGGCTTGGATTGAGTCGAATTTGGTGTCGCTGTGTTTGTCTTTTCGTGACGTTTAGTTTGACAGTAAGTTTGTAGAAATCAAAGTTTAAATGGTCTCGGATTTAATTTTTTAAGTTTCCAACTTGATTTTGCCTCAAGATTCGTGCCTGATTAAGATAATTTTTTAATGATATAACAATCATAATGAATAATTTTTAATTTTTAAGTTTCCAACTTGATTTTGCCTTGAGATTCGTGCCTGGTCAAGATCATTTTTTAATGATATATCAATCATAATGAATAATTTTAATAACTTGGGGTATGTCCAGTCAGTTACTCTAGAGGATTTACATTTTTATTGCTTGCATTGTAAATCCTTAGGTCATTCAATTCAGAATGTATTATCTTGCACCCGCGTTTATCTAAGCCACAATTGCAATGGGATGTTCCCCCTCCTACTTCTGTGCCGGATTTAGGGGATAATACTATTATTATGTCGAGTCCTAACATAGCTACTTTGTCCCATGTTGCTTTACCATCTGTGAATCCTATTGTGGTTAATTCTTCCCCTGCTATGTCGTCTGTTAATGTGTGAAATTGTTTGAATGTTGCGACTGCGATAGAATGTGAACTTGTTTTGATTCCAGCTGAGGAGGTGGAGGCATCTTTGGGAAATTTACCTGCATTTATTTCTCTTTATTTTGCTCAGGAGGATTCTGTAGTTGTTGAGACCGAACTTGTTATCTTGGCCTCTCGTTTTTGTGTTAGTGACGTTGGTTGTTGTTTTAATTTTAAACCGTCTTTGTCTTGTGTGGGTAATGTGTCTGCCTTGTGTGATTTGGATGAGACTGAAGAGCCTGGTGTGGTTGCTGAGCAATCTGGTTCCTCTTGTTCTCCTATTCGGGTTGTGGCTGGTAGGGGTGTAAACGAGTCGAGTCGAGTCGAGTTTATACCCTTATCGAGCTCGGCTCGTTACATGGAAAGCGGGCTCGAACTCGAGCTCGAGCAGGCTCGCGAGCCGGCTCGACAGCCATGGACGGGAATTTTTAAATTTAGGAGGGATTTTTAAAAATTTGAAAAATTAGGCGGAATTTTTAAAACTTAAGCGGGATTTTTAAAACTTAGATAAAGTTTAAAATATATATATGAAATGTTTAACATTTAAATAATAATTAGGTGATTATTATTATTTTTTTATATTTATATTTAATAAATAAAATAAAATTATTTAAAAATATATTAAAAATTATTTGAGCCGGCTCGTTAGCTCATTTTCATAACTGAGCTAGAGCTCGACTCGTGAGCTAGATAAGCTCGGCTCACGAGCGTATAAACGAATCAAGCTCGAGCCGACTCGCGAGTCGGCTCAGCTCACTTACATCCCTAATTATTGCTTATACATTGATCAATGTTAAATCTAGGCTCACTTATAATTGTGATGTTGGGAGTGATCACATTAGTATAGATGATCCTATTAGTGTGGTAAATAATTGCCCTAGTATTGTTTTGCCTCTGCTTGAGTCAGTTGTTTCCTTGGGGAGGGCGGTTGAGTTTGATTCGATGATTCCTGTTGTTGGTGCTCCTTCAACAGAGCATTGTGGAGTTGTGTGTTGTGATGATGGTGATGTGGGTGATCATGTCTTGGTGGTGACCCCTTGGGGTGGGATTGAGATGGTTCGGGTTGACCCGAATAGTGCCGGGTCAGTTTCGAGTTCGACCCGAACCCGACCCGTGACCCGAAATTGACACCCCTACTTCGTGGTTTGTGCTGGGGGCCTCCTACCTAAGTCCCCTCTCGCGCTTTCTTTTGTCTATTTGGTGTTTTTGGTTGTTTAATTTCTGTACATTGGTCTGTTTTGGCTTTGACTTATTGATTCACGGATTGCTGACATGTAACTGATGTACTTTTTTATCTCCTTTTATTTTAAAAAAATTTTGTTTTTTGTTAAAAAAATGAATACTTTTAATAACTTTAATATTTTTAATCTTCATATTGTATTATTCTGAAAAATAAATAGGTTCAAAATTAATTGCCTCTTAATTAATTTTAAAACGAATGAAATATCTGTTTTACTGATTAGATATATATGCGTTTATATTTTATTTTATTTTTAAATTAGTTGAATGGCAAAAAAAATTGGTAAAATACTTCAAAAATTAGCCGTTGCGGTGATTACGGGATGTAATCACCGCTCCGCGGCGACATTCATGATTTATGAGAAGAGCGGCTGTTTCTTTCGGCCATTGGAGATAACAAAATTATTCCAATTACCGCGAAGATCGTGAACTACTCCCATGAAAAATGACGTTAATGCCTTCGACGCGAAGGTTTTTTCCACCGAAACCGAAACGGTCTTTCTTTCTTCGGCCGCGTCGTCGTTATCCACCCCTTTCCCTCCGAAGCTATAAATGGACTGCTCCGCCTTCATCACCTTGCTCCGTTCTTTCAAAACCCTAACCCTAGAGTAATTCTTCACTGGAAATGGAATGCCGCGACCAGAACATTGGCGCATCACCTTCTCCATCGCCGCGCCATAAAACCCGGCCGATAATCAGGTTCCCTTGTTGCAGTCGCGTTGCCAATTCGGAAGATCCGCCGGTGGTAGAGGCATCGGTGATTCGATCAACGCCGTCATGGATCCGTGCAAAGGCTATGGAGCTCCCGGAGATGAAGGAATGTTGCCGGAGGCTGATCGGGAAATCATCAGGCCGCCAATTTGGAGACTTCAGGTACGACCCTATCAGCTACGCACTTAACTTTGACGACGGAGACGATGGCGCCAATGCAGAGTTGTTCCGATTGCGAAACCCCACGTCTTGATTCCTGATGTTGCCGTCGGATCCTATTGACGGCGCATGAAGATACAATCCTCGCTTCTATGAATAAGAATATAAGACATGCAAGGCATAGAATACTATAGTGCTGGATGGTCTTATGAATTTATTGAGAATTTAAAAGTGATTATTATATTCCATAACCCTATGTAAATTTTATTTTATTTTATTTCTCATTAGCTTTGATTTTTATATATATTTTTTTATTATTTTCCCTTCCTTTTTTGGCATTTTATTTTTTATTTAGATTAATAAGTGATTTAGGGGGAAAAACTCTCATCTACTGAGCTGTTTATTTATCTAATTGTTTCATTTATTGTATTAGATTTAATGATACTTATCTTGCTTTATAAATCATTCTTATTTTATAAGTCAAATTTATTGATCGTTTTTTTTTTCAGAGATTATGGAAATTATGATATACTATATAGATATGATAGCATATTTATCCTAATGATTACAAATCCATCATAGTAATTACAAATCCATTTTTTTTATAAAATTAATAAAATAAAAGAGTTTTATATGAAAATTTATAATTTGTAATTTTGATAATTATATATATTATTGTCATTAATATAATACCATAATTATGATAATTATAAATTTTTATGCATGACTTCTAATTTTGGTTATTTGTAATAATGACTTGAATTTGTAATTATTATGATAGATTTATAATTATTAAAATAGATTTACTTTCATATTATCATATGCAAGTCATCTCTAATACTCCACTTCAAGAAACTATCCCAAAGAGCAAAACTCAATGTTTGAGATTTTTTTTTGGAACGGGGTATCTATTCGCTTCCACTCCCCAGGAGGCGCTTAGCTGCGTAACTAATCACTTAGCTAGCCTACCAGCAACCATCCCCATAGTTGCAGGACCCACAGTTAATTTCTCTCCACTTAAGGGCCGCATGATAGGGGATTCGAACATGAGTTGGTGATTCCCAATCATTCCCACCCACCAAATCAGCTAAGCCCGGTGGGGTTTGGGAATATTTCTCCGATGTGAGACGAACACTTAACGACATACTTACTAACTAACATTTCATTAAAATTATAATTTAATTTTCTCAAAGTTAAAAAAAAAATTAAAACAATACCACAAATTACAGAAAAAAGAGGATTGAAAAGACAGTTCATAATACAAATTTTAAAACCAATTATAAAAATTATAATCAGCTCATCTGGATCTATTAGGAGCTTTGACTATCAACTAATATATCTAAGATTATATAATATGTACTATATAAATTTATTTTAATTGACCTAAAAGTCCCAAAAAAAACCATAATATGTGATATATGCTCACAAAATTTATGTCTTCTATTTTTTGGGTCTTTGTCAATGCATCACAGAGCTAGCTCTAGGCGATGCTGCCATTGCCGCAACGCCGGGAATTCTCCTCTGTATTCACACCATCATCCCCGTCATCGAAATTAAGAGCGTAGCTGATAGGGTCGTATGTAAACTCTCCACGGCGGCGGCGCGGCGATTTCCCCGTCAACCCCAAACAACAATCCTTGAGTTCAGCAGCCATTTTCCGAATCGACGATGGTGGTGATCGGACCGTCGATGCCTCTGTCGCCGGCGGCTCTTCCGAACCGGTGGCGCAAATACAAGAAGGGATTAACTTGGTTGCCGCCGCCGGGCGTGTCGTCTTATGACGCGGCGATGGAGATGGAGATGTCTCAATGTTCTGGTTTTGGCTCTCCATTTCCGCTAAGGAGTCGTTCAAGGGTTAGGGTTTTGGAAGCGCAGAGCACTCTGATAAAGGCCAGGCCGGCTGGCCGGGCGGTCTATTTATAGCTTCCGAGGGAAAAGGACGGATTAACCTTAGAATGGTTTAAGGGCATTAATGTAATTTATTTTTTAGTGCGGTTCACGAATTTATTAATATAGTAGAATTATTTAATATGATTTAGATATTAAAATATTTATAGTCATTATTATTATAATATATTCACATTATTAAAGATATATTTAGTACTTTATTATATTATCTGTATATAGACACTCTTCGATAAGCTATTATTTAATGAAATAAAATTTATTAAAATTTTAATAAGTATTTAGTTGAGTCCCATAAAATATATTCCAGTTATAAATTGTTAAATAACAGCTCAATTGAACGCACGAATTTCTTCATGAATATATATAAAATTATTTGATTCAATATCTTCATTAATAGATACAAAAGTATATAAAAATATAAATTTCATTTCAAATATGAGAAATCTGTGTCATATTTCATATATAAAAACACGAATATATCTCTAAAAATAATTTGAAACACTACTATTAAAATAAGTTATGCTAATAATGCGACACCAATATTGACATCATGATATTCACAGCAGAGAAGAAACGTGATAATGTGTTTGCATTTGGGACTCGAATGAGTGGCTCGCAATAACTGCAAAGGCCCATTTGCAGTTCGATTGGAGATGACATGCATCCAGATTCAAACTTTGTTGGTTGTTACCCAATGGGTAGAGACATGCATTCAGTTTATTTCCATGGGTTGGTTGACAGATTTATTTAAACCGATCGATTTTAAATTTAAAATTTAGAAAATCAAACAATATGTATTATTGAACCAATATAATTGAAATTTCGTTCCAATATTAATTTATTCAGTTGAATTTTGAATAAATTATTTTTTTAGTAACAATAATTTTTTTTAATAAATCAAAAAACTTTTTCTAATAAGAATATAAATAATAAACATGCTGATATTTGTATAAAGAAAAATGTGCATTATATTTAATTTACCTCACTTCAATCATATTTAACATCATTTTATAAATAAAGTGACAAATTAGAATAAGTAAAAAACTAATCTTAAACATTTTAATAGATGGAAAACTCCTATAATATATGCAATAAAATTAAAGAAAAACTTGATTCTTAAATAAAGATGCTTAAAATATTTCTCAAATTTATAGAAACTCAGTCACCCAATCGCTCTAAAATCACCTGTTACAAAATATATAAAATAATCCAACGGTCAATATTCATTTTTATTTATTTACATGATAAATATTTAAAATTTTATTCAATTTCACTCAATTAAATATATAAACAAACTTTGTATAAATGAGCATCAAATTATTCACCCAATGTAATAATTCATTTATTTTCCTATTTGACATCAAAGTGAAGAGAATCCTAAACTGCTCACCAATATGGCTATGTGAAGCATCTTTTATGACTTGGTGATTTACAAGTAGTTTATTGTGTTATAAATAGGGCTATAAATGAGTCGAGCCGAGTCATTAGCCAACTCATATTTGGCTCAATACATAACTAAGCTTGATAATTAAGCTAATAAGTCAAATTTGTGCCGAGCTCAACCCGACTTGTTAGCTCATAAACTTGCTATTTTAAAAAATATTAGTATAAACTAACTTAAATAATATTGATTCAACAGTTAAACTAAAAAAGTTATTAAAAATATTTTTTAAAAAATTATCTCATTCTTTATATCAATTATTTCATATCATTTATCTAATTTCTCTTTTTTTACATTTTAATACAATACTTCTTGAATCAAAAATAATTTTATCTTTTTCATAATAAATGAGTCAGCTCATAACTCAAATCGAACTCGAGCTTATTCGGGCTCAAGTTGATGATGACTAATTTACCCCTCTAATTATAAGTTTAATAGTGGTCTAAAATCAAGAGAACAATTCAATTTTCATGGTAATCATTCCACTGAAAAGGAAGTACATGGATGTTCTTCCTATACTTTAGGATATACTTAATATGTCGTCAAAAATTCTTGCTCGAACACAACCCTAAATGTATATTTAAATTGAAAACTTCTAAAATTAAATTCATAACCATCTAAACTCTAATTTCAGCAAAACATATAATCGAATCAAAGGTCTCGACGAGACGAGCCCACAACACGAGACGAGCCCACAACACCAAATGTAATACGATCCAACACTAAATGAGCCTAGGCCCTAGATCAAGCACTTGAAGCATAATTAAAAACTTCAGGATATTAACTGACAACAAAATAATCTCCAAAACTCACATTCTTGTAGTCAAATCATGCATCTTCACAAAATGAATCCAAAGATTCTTAAATAGTCTAATTCTAACCTCATTATAACACTTAAATGTTGAATAAATATTCTATGACCGAAGCAATCAATATGAACATTTTGGAGAGTTTAAATTTTAGATACATGTACGCGACATGTCACTCTTAAAAGTTTATAAATAAGCATTCACTTTACAAGACGAGAGAAAGTTGGGGCTTGAACCATAACTCGAGATTAAAGGCAGGTAAAAAGCTTAAAGAATCTCAAAGCTCTACCCTAACATCACTGCCCGACCTCCGCCACCCAATAGCCGCAACCAAACCATCACCATTCAATTAAAGCCATTGGACCGTCAATTAGCCATCAACGTCAAGCCACCATCGTCAAACCACCACCCTACCATTATTGTTTGACCATTATAAATCAACTATGGCCCTCCGATCGCCACTATTCAACCACGGTCCTTTGATCACCATCAAACAACCAGGTCATCCCAACAACCATCACCAAATTATGACCCTCTTACCACCGTCGCCAAACTACGAACCTTCAATTATCATAGCCATATATAATAGACATTATTTAATTAGGACTCACTTGATTGCTTGGACATAAACATGTTCTAGAGAATCATTTAACATGTAAAAACAAAATTATTATAGTTTAACATATTGGAATTACATCAAATCAAATAAACAGATCCAACAAATTTTACTAATTTTCAAATAGCAAACTATAGCTTAAAATAATTCCCAACAAATTACTTTTGTATTAGAATTAAGTACTTGACTGTTAATGGGACAATGGAAAAAACAAATTCATGTAGCCAACGCCACTCAGTGAAATAAAGACTTAGTTGTTGATGTTTTAATAAAAATTATACGCCAAGCTGCCAATAGAATTTATCTAAAAATAAGATGAGACCAATACCTCAAGCACCCCCTAGCTTCCACCAATTTATGATGTATTTGCACACTATACCAGCACCTAAACTTTCTTTTATATGAGCAAAAGAACATTTTTTTGTTCAAAATTATACTTTCTACCTACAAGCAACTAAATGGACTCAAAGAAATTCCACAAATATTTGCAGCATTAGCCATTCAATTGGAATCAAACAAAGAGCTTGGTATTTCGTCGTCGGAGGAGGAAGAAAAAGAAGATGCACATGGATTAATATGATATGCAGCATCAGCAGGAAGAAACGTTACAACGACAATCTCGAAATTCTGTAACTAATGCGAGACTACCGACTGTTTATTAATCTCTTCACCATTTCTTCCATTTTCACTTTGTTTATCATTGCTAAACTCTGAGAAGCAATCATTTTATTAATCTCTTCTTTTCATCCTACATACATTGACTACTTAACAAATATTTTACTAAAGCTGCTGCACTTCAATGTTCCAAGAACTTTTGAGGGGTAAAAATAAGTTAGCACCTAAAAGAAACCTTAATGTTCTATGCCACCATATCTAGGACTATTTGTAGTTCAATATGAGCAACATTAACATCATGTGCTCTCAATAACTCCATAAAGCTGTAAAGGAGCAATCTATGCTGCACCGATACACCTATTTATGAAGGCGTGCTGTATCCGATACAACGATACACGAATACACCTCTGATACTCCACCGATACGTGTCGGATACGCCAAAGACGTATCCAATTAAAATACTATTTAATTTCAAAAGGACACGCATATCCGATACACGTGTCCGTTGAAAAACAAACGTCGTATTTACTTCCACGGCAGCGAGCAAAGCTCTCTCATTTCCGAGATGGATTTGAGTCTCTTGATGATATGAGAATATTAGAAATTACTAAACTTTCACTTGATGAGCCTGAATTAAAAGCTATGATATTTATTGAAGATGATATAGAAGTTCAAAGACAAACCACTGAAGAAGCTAATCACATCATTCCTTCTATTGAATATTTAAAACTTTATGTGCTAGACAATTTATGTTTATGCTTTTGTTGTTGTACTAGACATTTAATGCTTGCTTATATTTTGATATTATAAGCTACAAGGCTACAAATGATGTTGTTGTCATTTTTTTGTAATTTCAAATATTAAGCTTTGATTGCTTTCTTAATTTTTATGTATGATTTATAAATTATGATGCCGTGTCCGCGCCGTACCCGTATCATGTATTTTTAAGAATTGACGTGTCCCGTATCCGTATCGTATCGTATCGGTGTCGCCGTATCAATATCGGTGCAACATAGGTAGCAATGGAGTAGTCATTTCAATACACATATTGTTGAGGATAAGTTGTGGACTGATGGGATAAAAATAAATGGCTCAGCAATAGCCATCTAACATCATGTGACCACCCCCAATAACTCCAAAGGATGTCATTATCAAATCATTAAGCAAACAAATTGTTTTAGGCTTGTCCAAAGACGACAATAGAACATCATGAAATCCGATTCAACCATAAACAGTGTGCGAACCAGTCGTCTCTCTAACCCTATCTACTTAACAAATTTCAATGAAGAAACTCCAATTTTATCAAGCTTCGAAGGTGTGACATTTATCTTGTCAAACACTTTTAACCATATCAAACAAGGCCTAGTTTCAGTTCTCTTGATCCAACTCCCCATAGGGAAAGAGGAATCATGTATGCCAGTGGAGTACAATCTTTTGTTCCTTACTCCACCATGAGTCAATCCATAAAGTTATTAGAATATCTCACAATCCATTCTACAATGGAGCAACCAACAAGATTTAACCTCAACAACCATGTGATTCTTGTTAGTAGCAACTGGATCAAATAAGCATGTCTATTTCCTCGTAAATCCCTCTCAAAAGTAGAATATTGTGGATGCTAATCACATTTCATCATATAAGCTATCATTAAGGGCTTCACAAGAGCTATCAAACTCAAGTCCAAACATTATATGCCCCATCAATTCAATGCTAAAAAAATCACAATTAAAAAGTAGATTATTATGCCCATTCAAATGGAATTGAAGAGACAGCTATGATTCTATATTGCAAAGAAAAAGACAACTTTTATGGCTTTATAATCAAACATATGGCATTGAAATTAGTAATGATCACCCGACCAATCTCTAGGCCGCTGATTTCAAAGGAGTGTAGCAATTTGTGGGCACAATATCTCAAAACATCCCATAGATATGAAAAAAAAAAAAAAAAAAATCATCGATATTGCACCCCTTTTGCACGTATTAACAGTGTAATATACGCCAAAAATCCTCAACAAAAATACACATTTTGTATTATTGACATTGTAATTTATATTGAGAAGTTTTAGTTTCATAGTAGGATATGATTGTGTCGATCAATCAGGCCGTACTATTGACTCAAATCTCAATTTCGTCGGTCGAGCTATCCATACAATGCCGCGACATTGTAAATCCAATGTCAAAGCGCTAAGAATCCCCTATGGGATAGAGAGCTTGGTGTCGCAATACTATAAACATTGTGCCACAACACTATGGACCCACTATTGGACAAAAAACCTAGGGCCGATGCACTACGAGCACAAGGCCAAGGCGCTACGAGCCCAACACTGCAGCATTACGAGCCAACTAAGTCATTTTTTTCCTGCAATTTTTATACGATTGTAAACTCAAAAGATGTGTGCATGAAAGGATGTGAATACTAGGAGAACGTGAGTAAGATCTATATAATTCCTCCCATTTTTTATAGTGGATTTCTTGGCTTCGTGTGTCTTAAGGATTTTTTATCATTTTCGAGTTCTTTCAAGTTAAATATTAATATGTTTTCTCTGTTGTTTGTTTCATTCTTTGCTTACTCCCAAGTCTCAACATGAAGCTAAGTAAAATACTACTAAGTAGGTAGACATTGGATTATATATCAAGATCTCCACCACTACCACCACCACCACCCTCCTCTTAGAAGTAGATTATTGTGGATGCTAATCACAATTCATTGTACAAGCTATCATTAAGGGCTTTACAAGAGATGTCAAATTCAAGCACAACCATTATAAGTCTCTAAAACTCAATCCTCAACAAATCAAGTTCAAAAAGTAGAATAGTATGCCCCTTTCAAAACGGAATCGAAGATATTATTGTGACTATATATTGCGAAGTGAGACAATTTTGATGGCTTCAAACAGTGTGGGGAACTTCAAAGAATGTGGGGCACTTCAAAGAGTGTGGGGCACTCTGTGTCAAAAACATCCCATAGGCCATAATAAAATTTTCATCTATGTTGCACCCTTTTGCATTTGACATTGTAATTCAAGCTGAGATCCTCAGCAAAAAATACACCTTCTGCATGTATTGTGATCATAATCTATATTGAGATTCTCAATAAAAAATAAAGGATGTAAAAGCAAGGGGAAGGTAAAACCAACCTCATCACAGCAATCTTATTTATGTTGCAATGATATTATACAGGTACATTACCATTTTTTGCGAAAAATTCAATTGACGCTTAAACGGTCTTTTCAAATTTAGCAGGAAAACCTCATTAAAATCAAACTGGCACAACTTCTCAAGAACAGAGTTAGAACCAATGAGCCTAACGAGATTCTGAATTCCGGAGAAAAGCTTCCTAGTTTAGATACCTCCTACAATTTTTTGAATTGCAGAAACAAGGAATTTTCTTACCTTCATCCTCCCGGTTGAAATGGTAGTCATAAGTAATCTCCTCCCCAGGGTTAATATCCCTTTCAGCAAAAAACACAACCTGCACTTATAAAAAGGAACCTTAATCACTTCTTATGTTTAAAGGTTACAATGCCTGGCAAAATAAAACAGTAGATATAAAGATTCTGAAATGTTTATTAGTAGAAAACAAAAGTTGGGTATTTAAAAAGACGTGACGTTTTTAAATGCAATCTTGGATACTAACTCAAAACTCTGAAAAAAAAAACTCAAAACTCTGAAATAACTTCTCAATTTAAATCATTTTTTTAAGCTAGTGGTGGAACTAGAATTTCAAATGTACCAAAAATTTATGAGTGGCAAAAATTTTATAACATATATGATTAAAACTGAATTTAAGAAAAAAAAAATTATATTAAACATAACTACATGATTTTCTCAAAAAACCTAAGAGGGTTTGAGGAAAACCTGATTCCAATACTCCTTGTAGCATATGGCAAAAGGCCTTTTTTTAAAAGCATATGCTGCAGTTTGCAGGTGGTAATTTTGGGATAGGATCTCGGTCAGGGTCATAAAGAGGAATTTTTATTGCGTCCTCCCACCTGACGTAGAGATACGTCCTCCCACCACCAAAAAACTCGGTTTTTGCTCGGTATTGCTAGGTATTATTTGATAATAACGAGGAATATCATCATGTGAAGACCAATACCGAGTTATACCGAGCTGTACTGAGCTGTACCGAGCAATACAAAAAAATACCGAGTTCGTTCTAGGAAAAACTAGGTATTTTTTTGTATTGCTCGGTATTGCTCGGTATAACTCGGTATTGGTCTTCACATGATGATATTCCTCGTTATTGTTTGGTATTGCTCGGTATTTGCTTGGTATTTCTCGTTTTTTAGCGCGAATTTAGCTCTGGGCTGACGTATCTCTACGTCAGGTGGGAGGACGCAATAAAAATTCCATAAAGAGACAAGAACTTAAATGAATTTCAAGCATTGGTGATGCTCTCAGGTTGTAAAATTTGAGAAGCATTATAATGAACGTAACAAAGCAACCACTTACATTGGTCGTACGAGAAAATGATCAAAATGGTCCCTCAATTCTTTGTGACAGACCAAAATGATCTCATACTCTTTTGAGGGCCCAATTTGTTCACTCAACTCCTTAAAAGGAGACATTTTTTATTCTAACATCAAATTTTGAGGTTAATGTTGTTAAGTCAAAAAGTATTTTGTTCAATTTTTAATTAAATTATTTATTAAATGAAATTATCAAATAATAGTTTTTTTTTATTTATTAAAAATTTCTTTAATAAAAAAATTTATTAACAATTCTAGTCTATAATGATCAAAAATTAAAACTAGAATTATTAATAATTTTTTTATTAAATAAATGTTGAATATTTAAAAAAATACTATTACTTGATAATTATATTTAATAAATAATTTAATTAAAAATGACTAAAATACTCCTTGATTTAACACCATTAATCTCAAAATTTGATGTTAGGACCAAGAAGATCCTTTTTTAAAGAGATAAGAGATCAAATTGGTCCCTCAAAAGAGTTAGAGGACCATTTTAGTCCCTCATAAAGTGTTAGGGGACCATTTTATGACTAGTTCTTCTCCACAACAACTACCATAATCTTCGTAGTTTCAAGGAAAAAAATGAAAAAAAAAAAAAAAAACTAGATCAAGATTCTAGCACTCAATAGCCAAGAAGGCAGGTATTAACACTATACTATTTCCAAAAAGACCCACATACATAAAAAAAAAGTGCTATTATCAAGGGAAACTTCATTTAGCCTCAATGCTACTCCAGACTGGTCATTTATATTTACATGTGTACAGCACAGGAATTGCAGCCATGGTTAAATCTTGCGTGCATCACTTATCAAAAACGTTCATAGAACATATACAATGATGGATAGATGGACAGTGCATATTTTATCTGAGGCACCAAAACAGGAACAAATATACAAAATAATCATATAAATTGAATAAATAAAATAAGTCCCTTGCTAAAAATTTAGCAAAGTAGCATCATTCTGGCCACATCAGTTGGCCAGCAAATCGCATGAGGGCGGGTGATTGTGGTACGCTTCGGTGATCCTGAAGTGAACCAGCGTGGCAGGAATGGTGCAAAGGGGTTCCTTTTTCCTATTTATTTATTATGCCTTTCCAGATAAAATCTGCCTGATAGAAGGGTACAAGAAACACATCATACGCAAATTGTAGCCATCCATGCACACAACTTGCATTTAAAAAGTACTAAATTGATCAAAAATAATGTCATTCACTCAATCAAGATTCTAAGACATTGCATGGATCCCAATTTATATTAATATAGGTGATACATCACCAAAAATTGTCTTTATCGAGCACGAATCTCAAGGCGTATTCAAGTTGGAAACTTCCAAAATTAAATGAGGAGCCATCTGAACTATAATTTCAGCAAAATCTATAGTCAAGTTGAACATCTCAAGAAGACGAACACGACAACACCAAAATAAGTTCAATCCGAGCCCAAATGGGTCCAAATCAAGGGACTAAAGCATATTTGGAAGCTTTAAATCATTAATTGGATGATCGGATGGTATCCAAATATGGCATGCTTATAATCGAATCAAGCGGCTCGACGAGACAAATCCAACAAGCCCAAGATCGCTTAATTCTGACATCATTTGGGCACATAAATACTTGACAAACACTCTATGATCGAGAAGATCAACATGGGCCATCGGATGGAGCACTCCGAATTTGCACCATATCTTATCCATATTTACGAGGCATGCCACTTTCAAAAATTTATAAATAGACCCCCACATATTTACGAGGCATGCCACATTTGGTTCGAAATTGAAGAAAACTCTGAGGCTTCAAGGATCTAGAGCTCCTCCAACCATCGTCACACACCAACTACGGTCCATTCGACCACCGTCACCCGCCGAATACGGTCCCTCCGACCTCCTTCACCCACCGACTACGCTCCCTTAGACCACTGTCGTCCTCCGACTACGGTCCGTCTGACCACCATCGCCCACCAACTACGGTCCCTCCGACCTCTGCCGCTCGTCGACTACGGTCCCTCCGACCTCAGTCGTCCACCGACTATAGTCCCTCCAACCCCATCGCCCGCCGCTGCCGACTACAGTCCCCCCGACCTCCGTCACCGGCCGACTATAGTCCCTTTGACCTCCGTCATCCTACTAACCAATGAATAGGACAATCTTCTCTTGAGAATGACTCCCTTATCATTGGATTCTTCAAACCCCAACTATGTAATGTGTTTTATATGATACATTGAGCCAAGGCCTTCCCCATGAGAAAGATCCTCATTTATAATCAACAATAAACATTACTGGAATCATTTTAACAGGGTCAAGACCCGTGATTTTTCCACTTTTAAATAAAAATTCAATCATATCCAAATCAAACAAGCATTTGAATTAAAACATATTCCTGTGCATAATAAAATAAAAACTCTATAAAATAACTCAAATTTACAAAATTATGGAAGCTCCTACCAAATGTAAAAAATAGGTTAGCAAAGACTTGAAAATGAACCCTGTTCAGATTTGCTTTAGCTTGGATTGAGCCCTATAATTGGCTTTTGTTGGCAAACTTGGCCAGATTTGCAATGCATAAATTCACTTAGCCAACAAAGAACTCTTCTCCTCGTGAGTATAATGTTGACCATGGAGAAGGAAGTGACAGCGCTATATATCTAATGGAAGAAACGAACGTATAATGAAAGGAGCATAAGGAGAAGAAATACACAAAACAGGTAGCTATATGGATATTTTAGGTATTCAGTGGCTTTAAACATCATGCACTTGTAAGGTTTTGATAATGTGGACCAATAATTGACTAGGAGACTTTAATTAAATTCACATTACAGATTTACATCTCTATTAGGCTTAACAAAAGAAAACAATAATCATCTTAAGTAGCAGAACTCTCCTGTCATAATGATAAATGAAGTGGAGATATTCAACTGCGCCTACAAGAGAAATTGCCTCTCGTTGAACAATATTCTGAGGCTAAAGCACTTAATAGATGGATTTCATTTTACTTCAATATAATATTTAAAAATCATCCTCAACCACAATAATAATCTCAAATAAAAAAAAAACACAATAGTGACCTAAAAATCCATCACCACAGAGGCAATAAATATCAACATCATAAGTACAAAAATAAGAGGTGTTGGCAATTTACGAAACATGCAGTAAAAGTGGAGTCAAAAGAATTTGTGGAGCTTGTGTAACAAATTGTCTAGAATCTATGAGTAAAATTTTGAGTTGGATTGTCACATAACATAACCCTTAATATGCTTCATTACTATATACGGATCTAAGGATTTTCATCATAAGCATGTGAATAAGTCATCAACATACAAAGTTTAGGAAAATTTAAAAGGATAAACCTTATATCCTTAAGTATTATATTTGCAAAGTGTAAAATAATATTGATTTTCATAAAAAAAAAGTGATGCACTTTTGCTAAAACCACATGATGCATCTGAAACTTGAGAAGATGGTGGTGAGGAGATTCACAATGTTGTCGAAGTAGAGGTAGTGACGACAAGGAAGTTTAGTAGGTCAAAGTTGAGCGTGACAGAGATATGAAAGAGGGTATGAAAGTGTATATTGAAGAGCTAATTGATTCGTAGGCAAGATCAATTACAACAAGTAGATGGGATCATAAGGGTTGGTGCTCACGAGGGTGTTCAATGCGAGTCGAACTGACATGGCTCAAGTGTGATGTAAGTGGCAGGATAAGTAGGCAAGATGCCTGAAAAAAGGTGGCCAAGAGAGTGCTCCTAACTTGGTGCAAGCAAATCACACATCACAAGCTTCTATGAGCAGAATGTGTAAAAAAAAAACTTAAATAAGTAAGCACTCAATTGGCCACAAATAATTTCATTCATTCAATCAATATAATCTGTTACATAACAGGAATCCTATCTATACAAAATAAAATTACAAAGCTAAGAAAACTCAATCATATTAAAATCTAATAAAAATTCAAATTTAAACTTATTCTTAACCAAAATAAAATAAAGACCTAATATAGTTATTAACATTTAAAATAATGAGAAATTCAAGCATGATTAAAAATGAGCCTACAGAAGGCTTGAAAATGGTTTTGGTTCAATCTATTATAGCCTGAACTGAGTTCTTATAATTGTCCCATAGCCAATTGAGCTTTGCAAGTTGATTCGTACTACATCAGTATCACTTCTTTCAAGGTAAATGGATAAGCTTTACTTTCTCTACTTCTACTAGCGTGATATGTGATATCCCTTGGTAGCGCCACCATGCATTTGAGAATTAAGTTAAAACATAGTTATAAATGTAGTTTACAACATTATCATTTTATTCATCAATTGCCACCAAGTTCAGTTGGTATTTTCAAAACTTCCATAGGATAAATGGCCCAAAGACTCATAATTATGTTATTCACAGTATTGTTGGACTTGCAAACAAACGAAGGGACAAAAGTAATCAATTTTAGAGCATAGGATTACATGAATAAGATTGAAAAAATAATAATAATGGACAAAAGATAGTCTTTACTAAATTTTTGTTTAGCGACAGTTGTAACATGTTTTGAGGTAGCTTACCTTCTTCTCATTCTTGATGGATATTATTTTGGCAACGCAATTTGGCTAAACAAAATCAAATGAAAGTGCAAATATCAGAGTCCAATCAAAATGAAGCAAAACATTGAATCTTTTGAAGATGTATCGATGCATTGGGGATGTCAAAAGTACCAGACATGAGTGGTTGACAAATCGAGCAATGCCCCCTTTCCGAGTAGCATCTATAATATGCTCCTTATCAATCCTAAAGAAGTAACATGCACTTTTGCATTGTAGCCGCCTTCCCGACTGGTACTCAATTTCTCGTTTATCTGCAACTCTAAGTCCTACAATCTCACCCACATACTCAACTACCTGTGAATGAAGGTTAATGTAATTAATAGCCAGCATAAAAGTTTTCAGTCACACAAAGGGAGTAAAATTACATAATCGTAGCAAAATTAAATCTTGTAAAACAAGTTAGGTTACCATAGCTCCTCGAGCTATGAATTGAGATGTATAAAGACCAAGAGCATGAATGCCAGACTTGTACACAACCAAACGCTTCCACCCTTTTGACAATTTGTATCTAATATATTCTTTCTGCAAAATATAGAAGAAACAATAATGCATCATTTTCAAATCCATTTATAGAAAAAAACATTTAGCTTTTCTTAGATCCAGAGATGCATAAATTTCATGAAGGAGATGATTTTCTACCATTTACATTAACAAAGGAAAAAAAAAGGAATAACTTCCAACGTGTAGCATATGAACTTTTTTAAGTTTGATAAACATATTGCCAATGACTAGAGAACAGAATGTCATCAAGAAAAAGGGGCTCTTAATTTATTATATATCCTTATATATGCAAAAGATACTGGTGATCATAATTTATTAATTTTTAGCTAAGAAAAGAATGTGATGCAAATCATAGCAACTTGTAAATATATTTTACATAAGGAATAATCTGATGAAAGTAGATCGACTTTAAAATGGAATATGAAACAATTAGAAAATAAACCAAATTATCTACCATAATTATTTTTCTAGTTGGTCTAGATGAGAATCTTGACAAATAAGGGATGCATTAATTTGGAAGATTAAATACTTCTTTAGGATAAAATTGGTAAGAGAAATCATCAAAAGATCACCTTAAACTATAATACTTCCCCAATTTCTTTCTTATGAAATCCAACAATACATCCATCATCAAATTATTTGCAATCATTACCATCATCATCCTGAGATCATCAGCTTGTTTACAATAGCAAATCTAATAGATAAGAATAATATGGAGAAGTTACTGGATTGGATTTAGCAAAATCAGATAGATGAAAGCTTTAAAAGAGAGAAGATGCAAGAGGAAACCTTATTCTTTTGTGGCTTGTTTGCATGAAAGTTATTAAATTAGAAAAATATACCATATTTAGTGGACGGTGAATGCTTATTTTGTTGTGTCAAATATTATTTGTATTTAATCCTCTATTGTAATAGAGGAATTGTATTTGTTAAAAACAAAGAATTTGTCCTTCTAACATGGTATCAAATCGGGGTTAGTAAAAAAACCTGCTTCTCCTGTCCCCCACTTTTTCCCACTCTCTCTTCACCTGCAACCCTCAACCACTCGCTCACAAATCACGAACCTTGCCCACTGCAACCTCCCCTAGACCCGTAATGACCATCTCACACCCACACCTTATGCATCCAGTCTGCACACTGTCCATTCGCATGTTATGTTGTTCATGCATAGCCACTTTATGCATGTGCCTAAATGTGCACCCACCCATTCAACACTTGCTTCCTCCCACTACCACATTGATCTACTACATTCATAGCTGGGGGAGGATTTCTGGTGGAAATGTAAAGCTTATAAGGGATTAAGCTAGAAGAGAGGAGAGATATTCCTCTTTCAGTACAACCACTCATTCAGTAGTTCATAGAGGCTTTTCAGCCACCCCAAGGCCTCCCATCACTCAGGAAGCAGAAGCACGCCATCACCTTGAGGAAAGGGGGTGTCACCAATTAGCATTCGTCCATATCGTTACCCTCAGATTCAGAAGGACGAGAAAGAGAAGTTGATCCGTGAAATGCTGAGGGCGGGGATTATTAGGCCAAGTGTGAGCCCTTATTCTAACCCAGTCTTACTGGTCAAGAAGGATGGGAGCTGGAGATTTTGTGTGGACTACCGGGCCTTGAATAAGGAAACTGTGCCTTACAAGTTCACTATTCCGGTGATCGATGAGTTACTAGATGAGCTGTATAGAGCAGTGGTATATACCAAGTTGGATCTGAAGTCAAGTTACCATCAGATCGGGATGAAAGAGGAGGATGTCTAGAAGATTGCATTTAAGACACACGAGGGGCGCTGCGAGTTCTTAGTAATGCCATTTGGTCTCACCAATACTCCAACTATCTTGTAGTCCTTTATGAACAGGGCATTCCAACCCTATCTCTGAAAGTTTGTACTAGTTTTCTTTGACTACATACTGGTATATAGCAAGTCCAAGGAGGAACATCTGGAGCATTTGAGGATTAAGAGTTATATGGGAGTATCAGATGAGGGCCAACCTAAAGAAATACAGCTTTGCATAAACTATGGTGGAATACTTGGAGCACGTGGTATCTCAAGAGGGGGTGGTTTTCGATCAAACCAAAATTGAGGCAATACAAAAATGACCTCTACCTAGTAATTTGAGAGAGTTGAGGGTCTTCCTAGGGTTGATTGGTTATTACAGGACGTTTGTGAGAAGATACAACACCATAGCCTAACCCTTGACAAAGTAGTTGAAGAAGGATTACTTCCTGTGGGGAGAGGTAGCTACCCAGGCCTTTAAGCGACTGAAGAAGTTCATGACCATCATACCAATTTTAGCTCTACCAGATTTTCAGTCAGATCTTTATAGTGGAGATAGATGCATCGGGGTATGGGTTGGGGGTCATGCTCATGTAGAATATCGGACCCATTGCCTACTTTAGCCAAGTGTTGACAATCAAAGCTAGGTTGAAGCCAATCTATGAGGGAATTGATGGTCATCATGTTAGCCATTCAGAAGTGACATCCATAATTGTTGGGTCGGCAATTCATTGTTAGAACCAGCCAGAGACGCTTGAAATACTTGCTAGAGCAAAGGATGGTGACTGAAGAGCATCAGAGGTAGCTGTCCAGATTGCTAGGCTCTGATTTTGAGATTTAGAACAGACCAGGATTGGAGAATAAGGCGATTGATGTCTTATCTAGATGTGGGAGGGAGCTCCAGGAGATGTCCATTTCAGTACCACTGATGGTGGATTGGGGGGCTATCAAAGAAGAAAGTGTGCAGGATGAGGATCTGAGGAAGATTAGGAGGAATTTACTAAAGGATGAAAGAAACCACCCACGCTACTCCCTTGAGAGAGAAACTACTGTACTAAGGGAGGTTTGTGATGCCACGAACCTCAGTTCATATGCCCCACCTGCTGCAAGAATTCCATGAAAGCATGGTTAAAGGTCATTCAGGGGTGCAGAAGACCTATCGAAGGTTGGCAGCAAAACTGTATTTGAAAGGGATGCACAAGAATATGGAGGAGATGGTAGCTCAGTGTGAGGTGTGCCAGAGAAACAAGTGCATGGCTATGACTCCAGGGGGATTACTTCAACCCTTAGCTATTCTTGACAGAGTATGGGAGGAGGTGATCATGAATAGATGGGCTACCACTATCTAAGAGGTTCACAGTGATTATGGTGGTGGTTGACAGGTTGAATAAATATGATCATTTCATTCCCATGCAACATCCCTACTGATGCATGCAATTACTAAAGAGAAGAGACAAATTGGAGAACACCAGGACAAATAGAAAGAATCAAACTCAATTCACTATAGCTTGCAAACAACCAAACAAACATACGAAGAAACAAAAGTAAAGATCAAACGAAGAAAAAAAAATGCTATCTTCAGTAAACCCGTTCAGCGGGTTTCCTCACATGCAACGAAAGTAAGAAAATATAAAATTGTGCTTAGGCTTGCAAACCGAGGGTCCACCACTGCAAATGAGTCCAACGTCCTACCAAACTCCTCTGGCAAATGTCTCCAAATTTCAACCAACATACAACTTCCAAAGCTCAAGAAGAAGGATACAGGTGAAGTGGAACTTGCGTACATAAGAAGGGGTTAAAAGCCAAGACGAAATAGAGAGGAGGAAAGGGGGTGGAACAAGCTCTCAACCTTTTTCAAGAGAAGAAACCCTTAGGTTTTTGTAGAGACTTTGCTCACAACATTCAACAACCTTTTTCATCCCAAAACAACTCATTTTTATAGCAAAAGAAGGTAGACAAATAGCCATAACACCTCCAACCAAATCCAATTAGAATTGGGGAAATGAAAGGCCAAAAGTCACTAAATAGAAGGCCAAAAGATAGCAAAACAGCAGCAGGAAATCTGCACAGAAAACAGGGAAATAGTCCACGAAATTCCCACCAATCAGCCACGGGAAACCAGCCAACAAGGGACCCGAAAAGCCAGCACAGGAGACAAGGCAACAGGTCACGAGAAACCAGCCAGCAAGGGACCCGAAGAGCCAGCACTGGAGACAAAGAAGCAAATCACGGGAAACCAGCCAGCAAGGGAAAACCGAGAAGGCAAAGGGAGGTGAAGAGGCACAAGTCCACTCCATAATAAACTCTTGAAATAATAGCATACCTTTTTGAATTAATGAATTAGGAAGTGCATTTATTCCCCAATCATTGAGCTAAACTTCAGCTCAAGCATTTATAACCTAACTCCAAGTAGAATCTAGCATTTTGAGCTCAATACCAAGCAGCCAAGGCTCAGCCGAGAATAGCAACCAGCTCAAAACCATGAACAGCAAGCAGCTCAAGGACTAATTGGACCCAGAAGCCAGCAAAACCAAGGTTTGCCATGCCTCTCCATGCTAAAAAAAATTAAAAACACAACTATATATTGTTCAAATTACATTAAAACAAAATAGACTAAAACATGTATGCATCACCTACACAGCCGTTACAGTAGCAGCAGCATTCATGGAATCTCAGAGTCGATAGTATCTGATCGAGATAAGGTGTTTCTCAGTCAATTTTGGAATCTAGAGGGAGTTGTTCAGGCTGCAGGGCACGATTCTCAAGAGCAACATCGCCTACCACCCACAGACAGATGGGCAGACGGAGGTAGTCAACAGAATCCTGGAGACTTACAAGCGGTGTTTTGCGTCTGAAACACCTATGATGTGGGCCAAGTGGCTAACATGATCAGAGTATTGGTACAACACGTCATATCACTCAACTTCTCAGCTGACCCCATTCAAAACATTGCACAACAACAACCTCCACACTTAGTGCATTTTGGGTAGAGGAGCACACCAGTCTCTTCAGTAGAGTAGTACTTAAAGGAAAATGATAAGGTGCTAGAGGAATTGAAGAGACACTTATTGAGAGTACAACAAATTATGAAGAAGCAGACAGATGGGCTGATGGCATTGTGGGGCCCAACTGGTTTAATAGAGAGTAATGGTTGTAATTAGTGAAGGCTTTGGGAGGAAAAAATTCAAAATTAATGACTGTTTAAGGATTTCTTACTTGTATTTTTCTTTAAGTAGTTTCTTCCTAG